TTCCATTGCCTAGACAACAAAGCCCAGTCCCTCATCTGCTGCCCAAACACCTTTCCGTCCAGGTCTTCATGTGACTGTTGAATCTTAAGAGACTACCTGCTCTGTCCTCAATCCTGAGCTACAAGCAAGCTGTCTTCCTCCGGTTCTTGTCCCTCTTCTCCCTGTGCCCCTGCAATGTCTCTTATAGGGCCCCTCTCCTACTTGGTGGCAAGGTCCACGGGGTCAGGAACCACATAAACCTATCATATACATGTTTGGTGAACTTCGCCAACCTCTAGTCTTGCCTTCCATTTCATTCCTGACAGAGCTGCAGGGATGACATTTCTGATCATGACCTCAACAGCTTCAGCTAACATTCATGCCAGAACACAGATGCCTCTGTGTGGAGTGGGAGGGTCTGCCCTGCCTAACTGCCAGGTCTGTTCTTACCTCTCTTACCTCCTACACCCGAGGATAACTCCCTCAGGCTCCATTCTCTGTCTAGCCTCTGTGCTTAGTCCAGGACCCTGTCTGTTCAGAATGTTCTGGATCTCCTTTTCTGTCCTCCAGAGAACCACCTGCACATTGTGAAGGGAATCATTCCAGCTCCTTTCCTCTAAGAAGCCTTTCCACTTTGCCCCAGGTCACATGTTCCTGGGCCTCTCTGTCCTGGCTCTTCTGTATGTCTTACTATCTTATCTGGTTGTCTCACTCCCTTATCAGGTTTTAGACTCCTTGAGAAAAGGAATCATTACTCTTCATATCCCTTGAGCCTTATCTGGGGCAGATCTGCACCAACCATTTTCGGAATGAACAGACCTTCAGATTGCAACTGCTCTACTCAGCTCAGCAACCTTGGAATGGTGGGCAAACAGACCTTAGGGCTCACACATTACCAGCCTAAACCTGTGCAGCGAGGTGTGTGCACAGGACTCTTAAGCATCTAAGACAAAAGGCCCCTTTCTTGGCCATGAGCCCTGAAGCTGAATCCACTGGCTGGCATGCAGAAGCCAGGAAGTACAAAAGGCAGAGGAAAACACCTGTCACCACTGTATTCTGCCTTCTTTTGTCAGTCTCAGAAGGTGCCAGTACTTCTTTGAAAAGCAACTCACTGCTGCTGGGAATTCCTGGAAGACTTGCTGACAAAGCTGCATAGGCCCCAGGTCTGCTGCAGCTTAATTTCCACTGACTGAAGCAGCCTCTATGCTAGGAAGGCTGCTTTCCTGCCCAAGGGTTGGAGGATCCAGAAACCCACGCACCATTGGAGCCCACACACCATTGTACCTGCCCTTGAGTTTTTCCAGGGTCATGCACCTGACAGTCTCCTCCCTGAATCTTCCCCGGGCACACAGCTTCTCCTGAAACTGCTTTCTGTAGCACCCTCAGACATCTCTGTAGACCCAGGTTCTAGACACTATGGTGTCCTCAGGGCATCACTGTGGCCTGCTGTCGGTGAGAAGCTGCAAAGATCATGGTGCAGTGCCTGATCATGTGAGGAAAAGAAGGGGCTTGCTAAATTCCAGGATGGTGGGAGTGCTCACTAGACACACCACAAAACTGGCACTGAAAACCCAGCTCGTCAGGCTGAGAGGTTTTCCAGGTCTGCTCTTTCAACAGCACGACAGTATCAGATCACAAGAAGCCTGACCAGCATTCTAGAATGCTCTGTGCAAATACCAGAGCAACCAGATGATTTCTCCAAGATACGAGGGCTTGCATGGTACTGTAGAGGTCAGCAGTACCGTGGCTGAAATCAACCACCAAGAAATAGCTAAAACAACCAAACACCAAAAAAGAAGCATGGGCTACATCCTCTGATCCAGCCTACAGAGACCACAATCCAGGGCTGGTTCCTTGTGTTGCTATGGCACATTAGGGTTTACAGGGTACTTTCATATAGGGCATATCTTTGGCTTCACAGCCATCTTGGGCAAAGGAGAGCATGTATCACCTCCTTCTCTTTACAAACAGCGAGGCTCCCAAAGCTTGAAGGACATGCCCCCATGTGGGTGGTGGAAGACCAGCATCCTGGCATTCTCTGGGCCCCCACATATAAAGTCAGTTCTGGGTGGCAAAATGTGTCCTGGTTCTTACGTTTGATTGGATTGGCAATATTTTAAAACACTTGTAGCCAATACTCAGCAAGTGCAGAGCCTCTACTATTCAAGAATCTATTGATTGTGGATCTTCAGCAAGGTCTTCGAAGGCCTCACAGGGTATTGCAGTTTGAATTCTAGCCTTGGCTTTGTTTAGGGAAACAGCTCAGGTATGTCTGGGGAAAAGAAACTTCTACTTGACTCTGCTGATAACTGCAAGGAAAGCTGGTTTATCGGCCCAGCTCCCCTCTCTGCACAAGTCTCTGCTTGTCTCTGCTTGTCTCCTCCCCAGCTCCCTGCCCACACGCTCTTTGCCAGGAGGTACATTGCCTCAATTGACTCTAGATCTCTCTTATATTAATTTGCATAAAAGCTTGCTGATGGAAGACAGGATTTCAGTCTTCCTCAATTTCTGAGACTCCTCAAGTGTGCTTTATCAGAGCTGTGGCAGAGTCGTGATGTTGAGATCTTTCCCCTGTTGGAGGAAAAATCTCTCTTCATCCCTCCCTTGGGGCTCATGGCTTGATGGCTGGTAAACCAGCAGCTTTGCTCAGCCACAAAACACAACACATAATCAGAAAGGGCCTTTGAGAGGTGGAGCTAAGTGGTGTGACAACAATGGGGCAAGGCTTCACCTGGACTCACTCAGGAACAGAGGATTATCCTCCCTCTCCCACTGTTCTCCATTTAGTACACCAGTCCCTGGATTTCCTTCATGATTCCTTTGGGACATTCTTTACTAGAAAAACAATAGGCTGAAAACAAGCTGCTAAGGATATTCTATGCATAACTAATCTGCCTCAATGTCCTTTGTCCTTTCCTTTTTTTTTTTTTTGCTTTGATTTTTGATCCCCACTGAGTTAGATTGTATCAATTTCCTTCAGAATTTGCTCCACATCCATTTCACTAAGGGGGGTGGGGCAGGACACATACCGCAGATCCTGACTTATCTCAATCTCTATTAAGGCTCCTTCCTCTAGAATTTGTATTCCGATGGACAAGTTGATCTCCTACAGGAGCCAGCTCAAATTCCTTCTGAATTTATAAAAAGCGTCACACCTGAACTTCCAATCATAGCTGTCCAGGGTAGACTTTCAGTGCCTTAGGTTGCCTGGTGCTGGGCCTGCCTTAAGAGACTGGCAGTGACGGCTTCCTCTGGATAAGCAGCGGCCATGGCTCATGCTTGTGTCAGCTGCAGGTGCTACCTGTGCAGGTGTGTGTGGCACTTCACTGGCCAGCTGGGTAAAGTTACAGTGGAATGAGCTTTTCATCTCCTAATAATTCTTTCTCAGAAAGGTTGCATCAGCTTCCTTCTAGCCCTTCACTACAGGCAGCAGCATACAATTTTAGCCAGTTAAAAAATATTTTAAGAGACCCATAAAATTAGTGCATATTTATGGGCCAGTTTAAAGAAAAATTCCTCATTACAAGTTAAATGCACTTCGGGCTACTGACTCTAAAATGCATAATTTACAGAGCATTGGCTTTTTGCTGTGACTAGAGGCAGGCCGTTATTTCACACTTGCCTGTGGGACAGTCTGGGGCCCTATCAGTGTTTCTAAATTTGTGTGTTTGCATCTGGTTTTGGCTTCTGCTCAGCATAGGTGCATTAAGTGCCTCCTTAGCGATTTATGGCTGCTTCATGAGCAATTGCTCTGAGTCGCAGCACTCCTGCCCCTGTGTCTTGTCTCCTGAATTTGTTCCACGAGGAGAGAGCAATGAGGCTCATCATGTGACTCACCTCCAAGCTCTATCAGAACCCCGTCCACTAGAATTTGTGCTCTGCTGGACAACTGGTCTCTTGCAGGAGCCAGGCCAAACGTGAAAAATGCACAACACCTGTGTTTCCAACTATTCTCAGACTCCCAGAAAGGAATTCTAGTCCAAGTCTAGACTAGCAGTTCTTACCCCAAATACTCCATTCCTTGGCCCAGTGATGTTTTTAGTGATCTTGTGACTTCTAGGGATTTTAGCTGAAGTTTGGAGCAGAGAGTAAATGGGAAGTAGCAATTTTAATGGGATGTTTGATGGGGTGGGGAGGAGGTAGAAACAAAGTAACAGTGGAGAAGGGAAGAATTTCCCACCTGCAATTTTTGTTTAGGGGGTGGAGCAGATGATCAAAGAGGAGCTTTCAGGGCCTACTGGTACATTTGGTCAGCACTCATCTTTACTTTTTTTTTTTCCCAGCAAGGCCACTTTTGGGTCAGCCTTTGGACACAGCCCAGTGGAAAGCCTCCACCCTGTGCAAACATGCAGTGAACACAAAGGCACTGATGAGTGGCATGGGCCACGGAAACAATCTAACTCCCCGGAGGGCTGTGGAAGCCCTGCAGTAATACCAACCTAGGGGATAGAGCTCAGGTGTCTGGGCTCATTTGGAAAGGTACAGCACTCTAATGGACTCCATATGGACAAACACCATCAACAAGGCTCAGACACTCCTATGGTTTTGATCACACTTTCCCACCAGCATTTAGCCCCATGCAATCATGTTCTTGAAGCAGACAATGTGTTGAGTTAGAAAAGGAATCAAGAAGGTTCATTGTTGAACATCTCCAAGAAGGAGGTAAGCTACAGGAAGCAGCCAAATCACCTGACTCCAGGGACTGGTGGTCTGCATCTCACTTGAGTTAGAGTTCTGCTTCCATTGCTATGCTTTCTGCGAACCTATCAGTGACCACTTGCCCACCCCTGCTGCTTATATAGGAGCTCCATTGGCTGCTGGGAAAAGGTGGAGGACGGTGTCATTAGCTAGCAAGGCTAGTGAAGACTGACCCCGCAGCAAGAGCAGGTGCAATTATCGTCACCTCACCACTGGCTACCGCTGGCCAGCGCTTAGCGTCTGCCGCCAGGAGACATCCCAGAGCATCATGGGGTGAGGGGACAGCTCCAGGTAGGAAGGCTGCCAGCCGCGGAGGCGCCTACCTGAATCTCTGCTTCACAGGCTGCTTCTCCGTAGACTTGCAGACGTGCCCCGCATAGTACAACGGGAAGAACAGAAAGTTCCAGTTGGTAGCAAACCACGTGAGGGTGAAGGGCGCGTCGAATTTCCTGAAGGTCAGCTTGGCGAGCTGCGTGGAGCCCGCCCAGGAGGAACACACGCACAGCACGACCGCTACGCCCCAGAAAATCTTCCTGAGTTGCGCCCTGGGGCATGTCCAGCAATGGTGACTCGTCCTCCCTCCAGTCTCCGTCCCAGCCGGCGCCTGGGCCTCCGCCGGGCCCGGGGAGTCCCGGGGGCGCTCCTCCCCTAGGGAAGAGAAAGGTGCGGTTAGCTGGGCCTGCACACCTTCTTTTTTGCCTCACCACCCTGTCTGGCAGCACGAGTGGCAGCGGGGTGCCCCCGCGGCCAGTGACCTGGGAGACAGGAAATTAGCAGGCGCTGGGGCACCACTGGGGGCAGCCATGTGATACAGAACGCCCATGGAAGACTTTTGCCACGAGTTCCTTCTCTCCTAGACTACTGCTCTCCGCTCTCCAAGTGTTGTCCGAGGGTCCTTCGCCAGTCTACCCTGAGGAGCTGGTAGCAAATGTACAAACACAGGCCCCACTCATCCATCAGAACTTGATTTCAATAGTAGTATGCGTGCACACGTGTGTAAATCATTTGTCCAGAACATGCAGCCTAGCTAAACCATTTTCGCCCTGCTTATGTCTGCGTGGATGCACCGATGTGCTCCTAAATGCTAGGCAGTGCTAGGAGCTGGGGATTCCCACCGGAGGGAATTACCGGCCGCGGTCCCAGCAGGTGACAGATCCTCCTCCCTGTTACTTGATGACACAGAGGCCGGGACACCCTTGTTCTGCATGTTGAAGCAGTAAATGGACTTCCCCTGTATTTTTCTGTCTGCTTTCCTGGCTTCCCGCAGAGGGCCTCTAGGCCCACTCTGCAGGTTTACTTACAAATCACAGCATGGAGCCGCTGGGCTGGGTTAGGCCACAGCCACCAACGCTCTGTTCCTGAGCAGCGCGATTTCTGGAACTCAGCTGCAGCCCGTGGCTGGCTGGGGAAAGGTGGGAAGGCATTCCTTTCCACTGCTGGCCTTTTCATGCATGGCTGTGGACCTGTGGACCATGGCGTAGCTGGGGACAGAGGCACACGCTCAGAAGGCATCATTTCTGCCTTTCATGCGTTTTGCCTGGTACTGAGCTGAAGGAGGAGGGGTACTGGGGGTGGCACCTACAAGGTCAACCTTGCTACAGGGAGTACAAAAAATGAGCACTGAGTCAACTGGGACTAAATCTACTCTCTCTAGATTGCTTAGACTTAACAGTAATCTAAAAACTTTAATATCATTAGGCCGAGCTTTGCAGATCATACTTTCTGAAACATTACAATTCTATGAGGCAACATTCCGAGTCTGTATAGGCTGATTTACAGGTGTTAGCTAATCCCAGTATTAAGCACTAGGGAATGCATGCAGATGCTTTGGGGGAAGGTAAACCTAAGCAACACAGCTAGTCAAGGAGCAAGAATGTACTTTAATCCCCGGGATTCTATTAGGCAGCATGTCTCAGGGCTGCACTGCCTACTGTGTTAATACTTCCTCTCCCTCTTTCTCTAACTTCTTTTGCAAGGCATGTCCTTGTTGGAGAGCCCTGGAAGTCCCACAGTGTGGCTGGGCCAAGTTGATCGCTCCTGCCCAGGCTGCAGGGCAGGGAGAAGTGCAGGATGGCAGACAGGAAGACAGACCCTTCCCCCATCATGATGCTTTAGGCCCTCCCACTGGCACTTCTGGACTTTGCTACTGGTGAATTTCCACAACTTAAGATAAAGTCAATTTTAGATGGCAGCACATCCATTTCCATTTACACGGATCACTTGCCATGTGGCATTGGCCTCTGCAACCTTTCATGGCTGGGATCAAAGTGGCTTGGGGGAAGGCAGACTTGCTATCAAAGACATACTGGAAAGATGATCATGGAGTTGAAAAGGCAGTCCACGTAGAAGTATGTGGCATCTTTCCAAGAATCACTTCCGACTGGAAAATGGGCTCTAGGGGTGCTGAATCAATTCTGGCTCACAGCATGTTCTTCATTTCATGTTTTCATTACAGCAAATTAGACTTTCAAGCTCAGAAGAGAACTAAGCAATGATGCCATGTCGCCTCTACAATGAAAGAGAAAATTGCCCAATTATGTAATTTTGTATTGCCGCCGTGCTTCTCTGGATCTGGATTAAGGAAGTTACTCACTGACTTATCTGACTCCTCCCACAAAGGGAATACTACTAATACACAGAAAGATAACACTCAAAACTGTGCATCACATTGCATTTGGGATCACATTGTGCTTCACCATGCATTTATTTTGTTATATGGCAGCAAATCTCAAGGTCTAAGTGCAGTGCAGAGCACCTTGGTCAGCTGGGAACCACTGTGCAGCACCTGTGGTGCACCTCGAGCCCTGAGTGCTCTGTAAACCAACGTGAAAACAATTCCTGATTTTCAAACACCAGTCTATTAGAGAGTGACAAAGCAGATCCAGGAAGGAGCTATGGAATAGACATACGCAGGCTGGAGAGGCTCGGACTATTTCACAAGAATTCTGCAGAAAGCCTGACTGGCGTGAGCTGTGATAAGAAGGCAGGGTCCTAGGTTAGCCTTGGAGGATAGAAAGACTCTGAGGGAAAGGAGGGACAAAATTCAGGGTCCCAAAAGCACGTATAATCTGCTGAGGGTCAGAGAGAGAAGATGATGAGATCATAATTCATTGCCATCTTGGCCAATCTTCCTATGTTTGGGCATGCTGCAGGAGTAGCTGTGGGGTTTTCTGGAGGCACTAGGGCAAAGCCCAATGCCCACTGACCAACTGTGTTAATGAAGTGCAAACCCAAATTTATACCCAATGGATACAATTAGTTGAAGAACACATGTTGAGCCACACACAGTTTTGATTAGCTGATTCCCTTATTCCCCACCACTGAAATGCAGAAAATCCATCTTCAGGTACACCAGAGCTGTACAATTTACGCTAAAACAGGTTTCAGAGAGAAGCAATTACAGCGGAGATGGCAGTATGCCTTCTCAAAAGCCTTTCCAATCTTCTCCAAGTGCAGGCAACTTTCATTTAGTACCTGCCTCCATGTCATCTGCAAATCAAGTGACGCATCTGTGTTTGGCTTCAGTCCTTTACAGAACTCAAAGACGCAACATGAATTGCTTAAAAAAAATCAGTACTGAACGAGCTTCATGCCATTTCCCATCCCCGTCCTTTGGCCCCTCATACATGACTAGAAGAACTATTTATTCATCCTCACTCTCACTCTCCCAGTTTCCCTCCCTGTTAACAATCCTTCTGTTTATGGTCTTACTGGACCTTACATTCTAATCTTTTTCTTTGGCCCACAGTTCTGGTAGCAACGCAACGATGATACACTTGGGACCAATGGCTGATATAGTTTCTGCTGATCTTTGTTGGTGAGAAATGTCTCCTGTAGGCAACAAATACATAGGTTTTGTTTTTTAATCTAGTCTACTAATGAATAACGTTTGACTGATCAGTTTAAGCCATTTACATTCAGGGTTAATATGAGTGGGTGGTAATTTGGTCCTGTCATTTTAGCAATGGGTTGTTCACTGATTTAGTATTCTGTTGTTATTTTACTGGGATGTTCTTCACATTTGCCTTTGGTTTTGGTGTGTGCTATTCCTCTTCTCTATCAGGAGAACATCTTTAAGTATCATTTGTAGGGCAGGTTTGGAAGAGGCATATTCTTTTAACTTTTCTTTACTGTGGAAAAATTTTATTTCATTTTCAAAGACCAAGGAAAGCTTTGCTGGGTATGTCATTCTGGACCGAAAATTTTTTTGCTTTTAGAAGATGGAATATGTCATTTCATTCTCTTCTGGCCTGTAGAGTTTCCTCTGAGAAGTCAGCTGTAAGTTTAATTACCATTCCCTTATATGTCAGTTGATTTTTTTTTCACGTGCACATTTAAGGACCTTTTCCTTATGTTTGATTGAAGAGAGCTTGATTATCACATGTCAATATGAAGATTGCTTTTGGTCAAGCCTGGTGGGAGTTCTGTGCCTCTCCTGGATGTTGTTTCCCAATTTTTTTCTCTTGATTAGGGAAAATTTCCCTTATTATTTATATTACTAATATAATATAAATGTATTATTTCATTAAATAAATTTTAAACTCAGCCTCTCTTTCTGCACCTTCTGGGACTCCCATAACTCTTACATTTGGCCTTTTAATATTGTCTTTCAATTCTTGAATAATTAGCTTGATCCAGCTCTGCTTCTAGCTTTTTGTTTGTTTTCTCCTAGTGAGAGAAAACATCTTCCCATTCTGAGATTCTTTCTTCTGCCTCATTCATTCTTGTTCGGAGACTTTCCACTGAATTTTTAATCTGCTCCGCTGTATTCTTAATTTCTGATACATTAGCTTTCATTTGATTCATTTCCTGCGTGAAATACTGCTTAAATTCCTTGAACTTCTGCACTACATACTTCTTGTTGTTGATAAGAAACTTTATAACAAGTGTTTTGAATTCTGTATACCCAATTTTCTCAATGTCTTCCTCAGTTAACTTTGAGGTTAGCAAAGGCTTTTTTGCTCCTTTGCTGGGGAGTCTAGAGTAATATTGTGCCTGTGTCTCTTCTTTTGCTCTTGGTTATTGTACTTTTGGTTATTAGATTCTTCTCCTTGGGGCAGGTTTCTAAGCTGTCATCCACTGGTCTGCAATTCGGTTTTACTTACTTACTATGGTTTGTACATGGTTCTTTGTTTGCAGTCACTTGTGCCTCCCTCCAGCGAGTTCCAGAGCTGGGTTCTAATATAGGCTTCCACTATGGTCTCCACCTCCTGTGATACCATGCTGAGGCTGCACCGTTGTCTGTACAACCTTTCTCCCACTTCTGGTTGGAGCTGTTCCCAGAACTAGGGAGACACCAGGAGTCCTAAATAGCTAGGTTGTTGGTGGTGCTGATCTTGCCAAAACCTGAGGGCCCCACAGCCCATTTTGACGTGTATGATGCCAAAGTCAGTATTATTTTTGATGTGTTACCAATGCAATGCACTGAGCTCAATGCATGCGCAGCTCACTATTGTCTCTACAGACTTAAGAAGTTTTTCCATACTGTACAAAATGGTGCCTGATGTGCCACTAGTGGAATTCTTGATCTGCTGGCTGTTAGGTTTTAGGGCTACTCAGACCTATCTTGGGTGGAACCTATAGGATGCCAGGTTGTTGCAGTTCACCAAGTCAGAAATGAGTTCACACCCAGTCCAGTGCATGCACAG